CGAGGCGAAAGCCACTAATATCTGTACGTAACCAAAAGAAGCGCCTGGCGTACGCAAAGGAATATAAGAATAAACCAAATACATTCTGGGATCAAGTACTATTCTCAGATGAGAGTAAGTTCAACATTTTCCGATCTGATGGTCGTATTAAAGTATGGAGAAGAGCCAATACAGCGTTTGATAAAGAAAACCTTGCACCAACAGTGAAACATGGTGGAGGAGGGGTGATGGTGTGGGGCTGCATGTCAGCTGCAGGGGTAGGCGAGTTAGTATTTATAGACGGTATTATGGATAAGTCAGTTTATTTAAATATTTTAAAAGAAAACCTCCATAAAAGTATCAAAAAGTTAAATTTGTCGCCCACGTACACATTTCAACACGATAATGACCCAAAGCATTCGGCTCATATCGTGCGTATGTGGCTGGCATATAATACCCCACATGTCTTACCACACCCACCGCAGTCTCCAGATCTTAATCCGATTGAACATTTGTGGGAGGAATTGGATAGACGGGTCAAAAAGCTTCCAATTACTAACAGGTTGGAGCTGAAACAGGCATTGTTAGAGGAGTGGTACAATATTGAGCAGAAAACAACCCAAAATTTGGTTCACTCCATGCCAAGGCGTTTGGAGGCCGTTATCAAACAAAAAGGGTTACCTACAAAATACTAATTTAGTTTAAGGCAGTTTTAAAATAGTTGTTTTTTAACTGTGCCAATAATTTTGTGCGTTGAAAATAAGCACTATTTTGTTAATTTAATTTAAAACAGATTATTAAAAATAAATTTTTATACAAAAATAACTGCATAGAGTATTTAATTAATTAAACAATATAGAAAAGATACTTTCACATAATACCATTTGTTAATTTGGTTTAAAAACAGTCGTGAAATGAAAAACTATTGCTGTGCCAATAATTAAGTGCGGCACTGTATCTGTTATTTTGTTTCTTGTTTTCCGATTTTTGTAATGTAAAATGAAAATAAAGATTTAAAAAGAAACGAGAGCAAATGTTACAAAATCATTGATAATTTCACGAATTGTGAGCATAAATATATCCAAAATCAATCTTATATCTAGGGCAACAAAACCACTGTAGACCAGTGTTATCCATATACATATTGTGGTCAGTGTTGTTAAATACCCGGGTATTTATTTTCAAGGGTAAATTTCCTGGATATATACCCAGAGGTATTTACCCAAGATGGGTATTTAGAGGTATTTTTAAAATTTAATTTAAATTGAGTTGATGGCAGTTTTGCAAGCACTTCAAGAATGCAGAGTCGATTATTATCGATATACCAAACTTATTTATAACATCTATAAGAATGTTACAATGACGGTAAAATTGCATGAAAGTACTGAAGAAAGTAGAAGTAGTAAAGTACTGATTGTGAGTAAAACAAGGCGAGACACTGTTGAACCCAAATTGTTCACCACAATCCTTAGAGTGTATTTAAACAGGATTAAACTGGATTGGACCCAAAAAGGCATAATCATTGATTGCAAATGTTTAAGTAATTTGCGCTACACGGACGATATACTTCTTATATCGCATAGCCTTGGAGAGATTAAACTAATGCTGAACGACTTAAAGGAGGTGTGTGCAAGAGTCGGGCTAAATATCAACGAGGAGAAATCAAAATTTATGATAAATCTTGTTCCCAACTCTAACATCAACATTGGGGATAATGAGATTGAGAGTGTTGACAGCTATGTATATCTTGGCTATGAGGTTCGTGTATCGAGAGATAATCAAAAAAGCGAACTAAACAGAAGGATCATACTAGTATGGGCAGCCTACGGGAAACAGAGAGACATCTTCAAGAGAAAAGGCCAAGAAAGGCTTACAACCAATCCGTGTTTCCGGTTATGAGATAAGGCTCTGAAACTTTAACATTAACGGTAGCCACTGCCAGGAAGGTCCATGTAACGCAAAGATAGATGGAGAGGTCGATCCAGGGTCTAACTCTGAGGGACTACATACGAAATGAAGACCTATGAAGAAGAACTGGCGTAAATGATGTGATAAACATTGTGGCAAAGCTTAAGTGGAACTGGGCGGGTCATGTCGCGCGAATGAAGAATGAGCAGTGGACAAAACGGTTGCTTGAGTGGAGACCGCGAGCGAACAGACGAAGTAGACGTCAAAAGAATGACCAACCATTGGATTCAGATAGCACAGAATAGAATCGTATGGAACAGAATAGCGGAGGTCTATGTCCAACAATGGACGCAGAGGGCTGCTTGATCATAATAACTTGATCTAATCTATATTACGACAGATTCGTCTAATGATACGTCTTTAATTTTTGACAATTCCTCGTCTTCAACGTCCTCATCATCTTCCTTTTCATTTTTTTTAGAATCTGATATATTTTTACTGGTATCACTTTTATCGCACTGTTTGGGTATTTACTCTGGGTCGGGATAAATACCCGAATAAATACTCATTTATTCATAGAAATACCTACCCGCTGGGTATTTACTGAAGGACACATTTTCGTATTTTTTGTATACAAGCAAGACTGAAATATATGCAACTTATTTTACGTTTCTCGTAGTAACGCTTATAATAAAATTTAAATTTAAGGGTAATAGCCTTGTTTATAGATATACATAACATATCTATAAACAACGGTAATAGGTTAGAATCGTATGCAGAATACAATATATTCTTTGCAAATAAAGCTCTTGAAAATCAGTAGATGGCGTATGTCGGTAAGGTTGGTAACACAGAGTACCGTGAGTAATCTGTGGTTAGAAACATTGATTCAGGTTCACATGAACCAAGTGTTAACTGCATCATACTTTAAATGTTAAATTATCTTTATAATTAAATACTACTCTTAACAAATATGTAAAAAGATAATAAAAATAAATTGTGTCTAAAAAAGTAGAATAATTTAAATCGTGCCATCTATTAATGGGAAACAAAACTATATTCATCCCAGATGTTTCAGTGAGACATGAGCCCTTTCCTTGACCTTCCATAACCACGCGTAACCATTCTTGGCATTCTCGCTTTCAATTCAAAGTGTTCAAAGAGTTCAAAGAAGAGCTGGTCGAGCTGGTCTCGAAGAAGTTTATTTTGTTGTGTTAGCCGTTTTTATCAAAAACAACGTCGTAGAAATGTCCAAATATTGCATATGGAATGTTTCTTGTAATGTTTACGTCAAAACTTCTATCACTATTGTCATCGCATAAACACAAAAAAGGCAGATTTTCAATTTTACATTTCGAAGATGATTAACAACAAGATGACGGCATGGATGAGGTAAGAATTTTTATAAAAAAAATGTTATGAATACTATAATACTTATAATACTAATATATACATTAATTTGTAAATAAATAAATTAAATGAATGAACTCGTTTCCAGTGGCAGTGATTTCTCCAATAAGATGATGAGCCACCACATTATGCCATTTGTGTTTAAGCTTATTTCAAGCAATTATTTTCCAACCGATGGATTGGGAGAAGAGGGCTAATTGAGTAGCCTGTAAAATCATCAGATTTGACTGCCTGGACTTCTTGTACTGATATCTGAAGAGTAGAGTTTACATTATTAGGCCAAATATTTTAGATGAACAATCAAAATCTGAGAAGAAATTGTCAGGAAGCATTTAAGAATTGTTTAGGTTACTAACAAGCAGCTGCTCAAGGTACAACATTTGAACAGTTAACTTAATTTTAATTTTTTATTCATTTAAATTTATTAATTATTTCTTATAAATTATTTATTTATCATTAAAACAGTTGTTACCAATAGCTACTGCTTCATATGATTTTAAGTAAATTTAAAGTAATTTTTTTTGCTAAACATTGATTGTACTAAATGGTGAAAAAAAAAATCCTATTTCATGTTCCAAAATTTTAATTTTTAGACCCGTTTCATTCATTTTTTCATAAATAGTTTAAAATAATTTTATCGCCTATATCCCCTACTTTACAGACGCACTATAGTATTTTTAAAACTTTCTGATTTTCAGCATGAAAGTATGTGACTTCTTTATAAATCATATTTGCTAATAACAATATTACATTTCTATATGTATAAGATGTAAAATATATTTTTTTTTATTTAATGTCTTTGTATATTTTAGGTGGGGACCAACCCTTTAAAAGTATGGGTAGTGCTCTGTTGTGCAGTAATTAACCTTGCACTGAAATTACAGACACCTTCAATTCAAGTTACTTTGATTAACAATTAAATGACACCAACTATGGTTTTCCTATAGTCCAATTTTTGAAGACAAGTCCTCAGTTTAACAGGTAATAGTTTGATCTATTTTTTTTATCATATTTGTTCATAAATTAATCAACATCAAATTATAATCTTTTTTGTGTTAATGTATTACAATAATGATTCTGCATTATGACTTTGTAAGTCTTCTTTTTCTAAATCGCAAAATGGTTTGATGTTGAAGAATGTGTACCTGAAATAGATTTTATGTGTTTAAAAAAAACTTTTTTATAAATTAAACAATGGAACTTTTATAATTAACCTCTAAATTGTATCCAAAACATGATTACTAAAAAATAGAATTTTGATATATACAGGTGTATCTGAATGACTGCAACAAACTTCAAGGGGTGATTCTTTAGTGAATTTTAAGGGTACTTTGATATATGAATTATGGGCGTCTTCGGCTCCCCTAAGGAGCTACACCCCTCCAAAAATAGCGGAAAATTTTGGTTTAATTTCTTTTTCTCAAAAACCATAAACGCTAGGAAAATGAAATTTGGGGGATATGTTTAACTCATAATAGGGCACGTTTTGACCCTATTTGTACTTTCAATCTACCCTTCTAAACTACTAAACGTAACCACCCCCGTTCCATTTATGCCTAGATTTTTTTTATGAAGATGATAAATACATTGGAAAAATTTCAGTTAGATAGATAAAACTATTCTAAAACTTTTTTGTCTCTCTGATGTTCTTCTAAAAATTAATAATTTCTGAGAAAAAAAATAATTAAGCAAACACTAACTGTTAATTATAATATATTAATTGATTAAAGAGGATTGGTTATTATTTAATGATTAAAATCCAATTACATGAAATTCCTCTTGATTTTGTATTTATTTTATTGTTAAGTCATTTAACGTTTCGAACTATTTACATAGTTCATCATCAGAAATCACTATAAAAAAGAAATTTAAAAAGCAACGTCGACGAAATTATCTCCTTCATGGAAATCGTTAAAACAAATTGAACGTACAACGCATAGATTATTACAAAAACAGAAAACAAAAAGAAAAACAAAAAGGAAAACAAAAACAAACAAAAATGTACCTTTGTCGAGTATCCCTATTGATTAATTTATCAATTCTATCGGTAAATTGTGTATATTTCCATGATCTTACATTTTATAAATTTTTCAAATTACAAAACATTTCAACGTGTTCGTATGGACTTAGCGACTATAAGAAGGAATATCGTGACGGAACCAGTTTTTCTTTAACAATGTGTTCTACGGAAATCAATACAATTCAATTCAAATTACAAATTTAAAATTTACCAATATCTAAAATTACAATTAATTAGNAATGTCAGTTTTTCTTACTATTATTATTGTTTTTCAAATTAATTTTTAAATAAAGTTCTACCGCATTTACGCTCGTTCACTCGACGTTTCAAAATTTTAAATAAAACAATAATAAAGTAAGAAAACCACTGATATTTAAACGTCAAAAATATTTCTGACAAAGATTGCAAAGCCTACTAAGATTTTTTCATTAAAAATTCATTCCAACTTTCGATTAACAACCCTACAGCTTAACAGTTAGTGTTTGCTTAATTAATTTTTTTCTCAGAAACTATTAACTTTTCGAAGAACATCAGAGAGGCAAAAAAGTTTTAGAATATTTTCATCTATCTAAATAAAATATTTCCAATGTATTTATCACCGTCATAAGAAAAATCTAGACAAAAATTGAACGGGGGTGGTTATATTTAGTAACTTAGAAGAGTAGGTTGAAAGTACAAATAGGGTCAAAACGTGCCCTATTATGAGTTAAACATATTCCCCAAATTTCATTTTCCTAGCGTTTATGGTTATTGAGAAAAAAAAATTAAACCAAAATTGTTCCGCCATTTTTGAAGGGGTGTAGCTCCTTAGGGGAGCCGAAGTCGCCTATGGTTCATATATCAAAGTACCCTTAAAATTCACTAAAGAATCACCCCTTGAAGTTTGTTGCAGTCATTCAGATACATCCTGTATATACAGTCTATGCACAAAATGTAGATGGTCAAACATCTTAAGGGTGGAATTACAGCTGTCAGAACTCGTGACAAGTATGCGATTTTCTGTTCATAACTAACCATTTCACAAAATAAAAATAATAAATTCGCATGTAAAGAACGTTACGTGCAAGTAACTTACAACATATTAAGCATAATGCGGTTTGCCTTCATTTATATAGTATTCCGAAATAATATTAAAGAACAGGGATTACCCTAAAATGGAACATCTGTACAGTAGACAAACCAAGGAAAGAGATTCCCTGATAGCAAACGTAGAAATTTACCTTCTTATTCAAAAGCAACCGAAACAAACACTTCTTGTATTCAGGACGTCTCCTGAATATAAGAAACACCCTATAGTTACAACACAGGGGATGCCCCAGGAACGTTTTATATATAATTGAACTCACCATAATTACCTATAAAATTTTTGATAAAAAGTTAGATGAAAACAAGCGACACGAACGTACGGGTTGGTTCTAATAGGCCCAAAGATCTTCTCATAACTAAATGACAAAACATAAAATTAAAAACAAAAGAGAAAAGCATGAATATAAGCATTAAATATAAGAAGGTACCCAGAAGATAAATCAATTAAAAAAATGTTTGAAAAGGTACAATAAAAAAATGATTTTGGCAGATCTCACAGACCCAGCCTGTCAACTGGAGGGTTAATTGCATTAAATATTAAACAAATTTTAAACAATACAATACAATTTTAAATAGCAAATTAATTTATTGAGAAAAATGTGCGAGTATTTCATTTTTAAGAAATGTTATTTCCAAGTACATTGTTGTTTTCAACTATAAAACTTTAAATTAGGAAGTGTTAGGTTTAATAAGTTAATAATTAATAACTTGATTCTTGTTTGTAGACTCATTCTTAGTCTTTACTACATACTGTGAGCGTCAAAAGAAAGTAAACACTAGTAGTTTACTTCTAAAAAACATTTTTATTACGATTCTGTTAACTTACAATAAAAATTTAGATACCAGAATTTACGACTATTTTTGTGAGCTATCCCTCCGTAGAAAATAGTTAAGCAAAAACCCCCACAAATATGGTAATAATAATAATCTTTATTACCGTAATAACATATTACAAAGTCAAATGTAACAACATAATATTTCAATTCAAAAATACTTCTATTTACAAAATTATTTCAAAAAAATCTTCAATGGAATATAATGGTGCTTCCATTAGTACTTCTTTTATTACACACTGGAGCCGTTGTTGTGGTAGCATCCGTATGCGCTGGGGAAGGTGATTAAACAGTTTAATACCCCAGAAAATACTGTTGTCTTGCGTCTTTTTTAACCGATGCATCGGTATTGCAAGTTCTTCTTTTTGTCTAGTGTTGTATTCGTGCTTCTCATTATTGGCAATATGTTTATCAATATTTTGTCGCATATCTGTAATACAATTTAGTACATATACTGAATATATGGTAAGTATACGCTGCTCTTTAAAATATTGTTTGCAACTTTGAGTTGATTTAAGATTGCATAGCGCCCCACCTNGCAACTTGGTGCAACTATACATATAGGAAACTTATAGAAGACTCATTAGATGCAGTTTTGATGGTGACTCGGTGGAAACTTTAAAATGAATTAAGTGTTATATATGTATATAAACAGAATTTAATTTTTTTAAATTTAAGTTATAACAATATATTACAAGTAAAAATAAAAACAAATATTTTATAATTTTGATTTTTATTACAAACGTAAAACTTTCCTAAAAATACTCCACTTCCTATTAAAAATAAACACTAATAAGTAGAAGATACACACTATTTAGTGATACCCCGTGAAAAGCCTTATATATCTAAAATAAATAAACAGAAACGTTTTGATTTCGCCTAGAAGTATCAAATCGAAGCTCCAGATTTTTGGAAAAATATATTGTTCAGTGACGAGAGTAAATTTGAAATTTTCGGAAAGAGAAAACCAACAAAGATATGGCGGCCAAAAAAATGAGGCCTTCAAAGAGAAATTTGTTACCAATACCATCAAACACGGTGGAGGCTCGGTTATGGTCTGGGGCTGTATGGCGGCGTCAGGGGTAGTAATCAGGTAATCATATAACTAGATTACCTAGTTTTTATAGAATCAACAATGAATAAAATGGACTATTTAACCATTTTAAAGAACAATGTTACCGCGAGTGTTAACAAATTGGGCTTATCAGAGAACTGGATCTTTCAACAGGATAACGACCCAAAACACACTTCCAAAATTGTGAAGGAATGGCTGCTATACTGAGTTCCTAAAACATTAGATCATCCACCGCAGTCTCTACACCTTAATCCTATAGAGCATCTATGGAATCACCTTGACAGGAAGATCAGAGATTACGGGAGGTGCTGAAGGCCAAAGGAGCTCAAACCAAGTATTAAAAGTTGATGTTATATTTATTTTTGTACTTAATATCTATTATTTACGTATTCTGTTTACTTTCTTTTGACGCGTAAATCCGGTAGACCTTTTCAATTAACTGAATTATTACGGGTAATGATTTGTTTTTTTTTTCATGTTTTTATTGATTTAAATATAGTATATATGAGTTGTGAAGACTGCAATAAAACTTTTTGAATTTCGTTATTAACTGCATTTTTATTAACCTTTTAATAGAAAAATAACGGCTGTTTACTTTTTTTTGATGCTCCCAGTATAAAGCTAGGTGGATATAATCATTAGCACTCAGAACCGATGCATTTAAATTATTGTATGAAAAAATAGTCAACTATTTGGAAATGAGAAAGAATGTTTCCTATAAAAATTATATTTTGTTTTTAAATCGTATTGCAATAAAAAAAGTACTATACTAACGCTGTAAGTATAGAAATGTGATAGAAATGAATTAATGTCATATAAAAATTAAGAGTTTTTTAATGAAACATCCTGTATAGAAACGTGTTGTGATTTTACAATCTTTACAACATTAATTGGCATTATATTAACTAATAATTAAAATAGAGAGTTGAGAAAATAGAGGTAAACAGTAATCGGAAGGTATTTTGTATAATTATTGTATATTGGGGTAAACAATTGTATAAATTGTCAAGAATCCAATCGAGGATTACATTAGTTATTGTAATTAGTTGTAAGTTTATAGTTCGTTGTCATATTTAAATAGAGATTGAGAGTTAAATAAGTTTTAGAATTGAAACTCACTTTTAAATTTGACATAATTATTATTTAATTTTTTAAATTGTTTATTACTCATTAGTTAGTTTAACGATAATTTGGAACTTGATAACACTTATTTGTTAATGAAAATCCCTTTCATAGTTACAAAGTTTTCACATCAAAATTCATAACATAGGGTGAAATTTTCGTCAAATCCTTTGGTCAATTCTGAAAGAGAAGAATAATAAATCTTTATTTGAGGAAATTCAAAAGAATAAGGTAGAATTTAATAGAAGTGATTTTATAACCTCAAAACAATAGGAGTATTAAAAGATGGATGACCCACCGCAAAATGCAACCAATCAGAAAGAACCGATTTTCATTTGTTTCAAGAAAATCGTATATAAGGGATGAAATTTTCGGAGGAGAGATAGTCAATCTAACAGCGCCTTAAGGTACACGTCGTTTTGTTAAAAAAATTGGTTTTATAACCTTAGCTATCGAAAAGTTCTTATTTAACCTCAAAATTTGCTACAGTTTGTTTATATTCAATTTACATTGAAACAGTCTGGTAAGTATTGCTTATAATATTTACCGGTCTTGTGATGTTATAGCTACGGTGCACAGTGTTAGGAAGTTACGAATATGTGGCCAAAAATCTAATTACAACTAAATGAAGTTGAAAATGTTTACTACCTTTATAATATCTCCTTAATGGTTAGCTAGGATTTATTTAATCTATATACAGTGCTTAAAACAAAATTTAGGATGTTGAAACGAATATTTGAAAATAAAAGCGAAACAAAGGTTTTGCTGTGGTTTGGGTTGGATCTTTAAGCTAATATAATTCCGAAAACATGGTACATTTATTTCCTGTACCCTAACAATAAGTATATATGCTTATATATACAGTGTGACCCGTTTGAATGCGGAACACCCTCGTAAAATTTGTATTTATTATCCGATTTCAATAATTTTTTTTTTTAATTGTAGAGCGTAAATAACTGTATCTTGGGACAAAGAGTGATATTTTTCTTAAAAAAAACAAGGCCTATTATTTCACTTTTTAGGTGCTAAAAATGAAGAAATCATATTAGGAAATTTTTTACAAAAAATCTGAGTACACCACTGCATTAAGCGCCTTTTGA